CCCACTTGTTTCATGCCCAGAATGAAACACGTAGAGTAGAGCTTCTTCATCCAACTCTAGATCCTCACTCAGGAAAGAAGCCAGGGAACTCCACATCACACAGCTTCACACAAAACTTCTCCAGCTTACTCACTGCTGCTGAACTTTGCAAAGACTTTTATTTGCATTTCTGTGTTAATGCCTGACAGTTACAAAATAATACTAGATACAGTGTCAAGGTTTACATAATGTTCAGTTGCAGTTCTATATTAACAAAAAGCATTAGAAAGGATATTTTAAAGTTCAAATGCCATTTTTAAGAATACCGATCTCAAATTCTTAGAAATAAATATATTAAAAAATGCTTAAAAGCTCCACAAAGAAAACTGAACTTACTGAGAAAACATAAAGCGGATTTAAATAAATGGAGTAATAAGTCTTGATCATAGATTAGAAGATGTCAAGCTGATAGTTAGAAAACACTCCAGGATCGGAGGACACACTAATTTGTGGCCCCTTAACCTTTTTAAAAGCTTACATTTCCTTTTGAGAAAGTTGGGAACTTAAAACCTGGTTTTCCTTAAAAACATTGACTCTTCCTCTATGCTTACAGATGCCCACCAGATAACTAAACGCAAAACAAAGCTTGACCTGTATTTTGAATTTGCCCCTTTATTACTTTGAAAGTCATGGGTATCTACTTCAGAAGTAAGGATTCAAATACAGGTCTGTTCAGTTTCAAAAGAAATGTCTTTTCTGTCCTGGTACATGGTACTCTGATCAGAGAGCAGGAAAATCAAACCCTTAAAACAGAATATGTGATGTGAAGAAATGTAAATGTGTTTTGCAACCAGCATCACCAGACATTTAGACTCTCATGCTGCCAATATTTTCAGTTACTGCATGAAAACCTGCAAAATGTCAAATTCAAGACATCTAGTTTCCTTTTCCTTTAGGGGCCAATCTACAACATTGAACCATTCATACACATTCAAACACAAAGCCCACAGCCCCATACAGACCAAATGCAGAGGAGTTCAAGATCCATTCCAGGCCCAACTTTCTGCTAGGAGTCTTTCTCCATCGTTCAATCCATTTCAACTTTCTTCCTTATTATTATAGATATTCACTGACCAGACCATAAAGGTACTCTGACCACAACCTACAGCCAGTCCAGGACAACCCAGCCTGGACCAATGACTGCCTCCTTTCCACAGTCTCTGCCTCTGCCTTCAAAGGACGACGATAAAGGAGAAAAGACAAGTTTGGTCCCCAAACCAATCACAGACTGTCTTGGTCTTTTCAGACTGCAGTAACGAAATACTACAAACTCACTGGGTTGTAACCCGCAGGCATAGATATATTACATGCACACAGGCTGGAAGCTCTCATGGTCAGAGTACCTGCGAACACATTCTGATTCATGGATGATGTTTCCTTTCTGTGTCTTCCCCTTGAAAGGAGATGATACAGCTTAGGCAGAGCTGGAGTTAATGAGCAAGTTTTTTGAGGGACGTTCCTACATGACTGACCTGCTTGCATGCAGAGCTTGGTAGGGTTGGACCCAAAGTCCTCAGGTAATGAAGGAGACTGGTGCAAAATGGAGGCCGAGATGCCGAGCAGCCCCTGCCTTTAGAGGCCCCCTGTGCAACTATGATCACTAGTGGAAAGGCAGTGTTTTTTTTTTTTTTTTTTTTTTTTAAGCAAAAGCAGCTTTAAAGGCCCTGACTGCTTCAGAAAAACAATACAAACTGTTCTTTTAGTGACAAGCATGTGGAGGACCCAGAGGTTATTTGTCCTGGTCTCCATACCTGGTCCTGCATACCTCCATACCTGTTGGGCGTCCCCAACAGTTCTATCCTCTCACTCAGCTTAGGTTATTAGTGGAGGCTCTGAAGCAATGGCATTTTGACTTTAGTGATGCACTGGGTTTTGGGTCAGTGAGATAGTTTGGGAGAGACGAGGGCAGAGAAGAGCTCATGCCATGCCATCAGCGGGGCGTGGCCCTGAGCAAAGGCCCAGCTGCATGCACACTTGTCCTCAAGGTGGTCCCCGACTGCCTCATTGCTTTGCTGTTACTTCTTCAGATGAAAGTGTGACTGCTCTTCATGCAGCTCCTCACTGCATCTTAATGGTTACTTGAAGTATTTACCTAGTATATTTTTTCCACACGGCAATAGACAAGATATTGTGCGAGCATGACAGTGCCAAAGCCACACAGACTGCATGCTCAGGATTAACCGGGGGGAAAAGTTACCTGACATAGACAACGGAGAGGATGCCATGTAACGCCCTTGACTAGGATATGGAGATGAACACTGATGGACTTTGAGGAAGGCGAAAATATGTAGCAAGCACACACCAAACTGGTTAAAGCGTAGCTGCTTAAAAATCATTATTAAACTAATATGCTTGTTTAACTGAAAGTTTACAAAGCACAAAAATAGGGAAAAGAATAAATCATCATTAATGTATATTCTAGAAGTAATTTGCTACCAGCAATACACTGATGGATTTTCCTTTAGTCTTTTTGAGTACATTAAATTTTACAAATATTTGCTGAAGTGTTAGAATTATTAAGTATATGGCTTCAGTTGCTCTTTTTAAATAATTCATGGAAAGTATGTCCTAAATCTCCAGATGATTCTTTACTTACAAGTTAAACACTTGTAATATTTCTCAAAATGTATGCAGTAGAGTTTAAAGGTCATCTGTCATTGGTAGTCTCAACTTATTACATTATTTGTGCCATATTTTATTATTTGTCATTTCTATGTTTCAGTACTACATATAAAGCTGAAAAATAAGGTAGCCATGTGATTTTTTTATACAGAATCCATTTTTCTGAGTTTGAATGTCATCTTTAGATTGCCAACAGTGGGCTTAGTGGGTCAAAAGGCAAGAATACCTTACTTATGCTTGGTGCATTTGAGAAATCTCTGCACAAGGTCAGGGACACCTCATTTTTTGCAGGGTATGCCTGCATTTGGGAGTGGAGGAGAGGCTCTAAGAAGAATTCTTGAAGGTGGACAGGCCACCCAGAAACAGACATAGGCAAGAGCAAGTAAGCGGGTTGCATTAACAAGATTCCCAGACTGGGAGTTCCAGGCCTGATAAGTGAAAGGATTTTGCCCTAAATGGGACCCTGAATCTGCAGCAGTGTGAGGCTGGAAGGCGGAACCAAGGGGCTCTATCTTGAGGTCACCTTCCCCGACCCTAGGTAATTTACCTGTGGTGCGAAATGAGTTCCAAAGGGCTACTTGTGCATCAGTAATGCCCCTTAGGCACCACCCCAAACCTAAGCTATATGTATGCCCCCACACCACGTGTTGGCAGAGAGAAAGCCAGACCTCAGTGGTCCGGAAGTTCTCTCCCCACATTCTTAAAATAAAGGCCACTTTTATCTCATATTTCTATCTTTTTTTAGACACTCCGAAAATTCTATCAATAAGTATTTGACAAACAAAAGAAAGCTGAAAAGCTGAAGGACTGTAGCCATGTCGTAGTGCAGAATGGAGCTGTTCTTTCAAGGAGTTAGAAAAATATTATGGGATACACTGGTAGTGGACTGTGCCCCCCCCCCGCACTCCCCCTGGGTCTTGAATACTCAAGTGAGAGGTGAGAATTTAAATCTGAAATCAAGGAGAGTCCAACTAGTATTTTGCAAGAACACGAGCTGAAAGTGATGAATTGTAAATAACTCTCAGGAAGCTGGAAAAGCAGAATACAAAAGGACAATTTTACCTGGGGAGGTATCCAGAGGCCAAAGCCTGCTTTAGGCTAATGCCTAAATGTTATGCAAGAATCAGGGCGTGAAAGGAGTGTGGTGGGAATAGAAAGGGAGTTGTGAATACAGAATCATCATGACCTGGGTTTAGAAAGAAGGAAGTTGGTCTAGATTTTGAAAGAGATCAGAAACAAACCTGCTGGTACCCAGAACGTTCCAAGTGCCAGATTGTCTAATAATGGATACAGAAGAACTGAGGTTCAGTGTATGAAAATTTTCATAAATCAAAAGGAATCGAAAAGAAACTAGAGTAAGTAATAGGATATTCATGGAAAAAGTAGTGGACAGTAACTATGAACGTGAGGGTTTTGTTTGAAAGATTGGGAATATCCATCATACTACGAAATAGATCAAGAAAACAAACTCACATTGTCATTCTCTCCCTCTGTGTCTCTCTCCCATGCCTACACAGGGCTACAGGACTGGAGCATCTGCAAGTCTTTGAGGGAAGCAGAGGCCAAAAGGGTTAAGGCATCAGGAAACTAGTGGGGCTCAGGGGAAAACATGCACAGGGACCCTTTTAAGAAGCCTTTAGCTCTCAGCCAATTGTTGGCAGCAAAGCCACCTCCCATCTGCACCACAGGCATCACTACAGGGTGCTGAGCACCATACACTAGCAGTCTGTCAGTGCCAGAAACACTGCACACATGCACAGCATCACATTTGCATCATGTTCTCATCATCATCTGGAGACAAACATCATGGGAGTCTCATGAGAAGCTGAGCAGATGCCAGCACAGTGCCCTTCAACTTTCAGGCTCTAAAACTGGGAAGGAAACAATTTATTTCTGAATAAGTTTCCCAGCCTCAGGTACTCTGTTACAGTAACAGGAAGCAGACTAACTCACTTGAGTAATATCTGTAAATACCTGGCCCTCATGGAATCCATGTAATGATTGGGAAGTGGGGAGCACAGGAAATTCTCCTGGGGGTGTGAATCTTCCCCTGAGCTTCCTGATGACCAGTGAAATGGAACGATCCCTAAGGACTCTGCCTTGCCTTTTACTCAATCAAATCTGACCTGAGTTGCTAGTGAACAAAAGCAGGACAAAAGGTTGCTGAGAAGTGGGCAAACTTTTGGGGGTGCCTTCATTCACAGGAATGTATTTATACCTCAATGATTGACCTCATATCTCTCCACAACCTCCTCAAACACACACAGAAAATCTCGAGTGAATCACTGTCGATGTTGCTCCCGGCCGGCAGGAAGGACACACGACAAAGTCTGGCAGTGGACAACCTTTTCTTTTATTTTCTCTCCGTACAGCCTGCCCTGGGATCGCTCCCAGCCGAAGCCTCCTCTGGTCCGCTCCCCGCAGCTCCTTCCGGGCTTCGCTCCGAAGCCTCTACCGGTCCGCTCTCCGCGGCTCCTTCCGGGCTTCTACTTCCCCCCAGGGGTGGCACCAGTATATATACGGATACAGTGTCCAATCATATTAAAGTAAGCAAGGCAAGCTGATTGGCTAACATATTATTGAGCGGGTTGTTTACGCGGTAAGCAGGAAACTAACGTGCTCGATGGGAGGGGTAATCTAACTCAGGCTTTGCTCTTTACCACAGGCCGCATGATCGCTATATGCGGCGGCTCGGCAATGTGGTGGCTCCCAACATCTCCCCCTTTTTTATTTTAAATAAGTCTACGCATCGCAGCCCGTCCTGAATTGAGTGTAGAGGCCTGTGCCCTGATAGGAGGCCCACCAAGGGCTCTCGGCGTCGGCCCGGGTCGGCCGTCCCCGAGTCTGCCGAGGCCCCGAGGCCCTCGTCCTTTTTCCAGGGCCAGGAAGGAACCGGACGGAACCTGGATGCACACAGGCATACACTCATGTCGCTCCGCATGATCCCCCCGGGGCGACATTTGGTTCGGGCGGAACCTAGTAATTCAGCGGCTTTCGTGCGGTATGGGGTAGGGCCTGTCTTAGGTTGAGTCATGCTGGGGAGGCATGCTCTTACCCGTCATTGACTCATCTACCCTGCTATATCATAATTTTTTAGAGGAGGAGTGTGGGAAGCTCACCGTCCCTAGACTCGGTCGTAGGCTAGGCGAGCGAGCCATGCATATGCCTGAGGATCTTCTTGTCCATTTCGGGCTACCGCTATTTCTATTCATCTTGTTGGTTGGTCTGTGATGGATCTCCGGTAGGGCAGGTCTGGTCTTCAGTCGAGGGCTTTGTCGCCCGTGTCAGTCTCTCCGGTACCCAGTGGTTCTCGTCCCGATTCCTGCAGAAAAACACAAACCGCGCCTCGGTTCCAGCTGATTACCGGATCCGGGCCCATCCATTGTCATGCCATAGATAACCGCGCCTTTGGAGGCAGGCCTTGGCTTACTCCCCCTTTTTGTTTTTTATTTTTTATTTTTTATTTTTATCTTTTTCGTTTTTTTTTTTTTTTTTTTTTTTTTTTTTTTTTTATTGGTACCAGGGATCGAACTGGCGATTGCCTGCTTACAAGGCAGGCGCTTATGCCGCTAAGCTAAATCCCCAGCTCCCATTTCCTCGACCGGCGTTTTTCTCAGCCTGCTCGGCAGAGAACTCTGTGTACCAGGCTCGCCAATCCAGGTAACTACCCGAGGGCAGACACGCCTTTGCCAGCTGAATCCAGTCCGCGGGGGTGAGGGGCCCAGAAGACAGGTTCTCCAGCATGGCAATGGTGTAAGGCGCAGTCGGCCCAAAGGTTGTAACTGCATTTTTAAGTTCTCTAATCTGCTTTATCTCAAAAGGCTCCCATGCATTACGTCCCTGGCCCATAGCTACTTGTACAGGAAATATCCCGTAGGGGCCACTATCTATCCCAGGTGGTGGATGTACCTCATGAGACAAACGTCCCCCCTGCCAAAGCCGCCTGTAAAAATACCGACCCGCCGGCGGCGGAGCATAAGACGGCGGCCGTGATTGGGCGGAAAATGGGGGCCCGTGCATCACTTCCTGTTCTGGCGAAAGGGGAGGGAGCTCCCACGCGGCCGCCTCGTGGCGAGGGATTGCTTCCGGGAACAGCCCCCAAGGTGGGGCGGAAGGCTTCGCCTCCCTCTCGCGCCAGGGGGCGCTCAGGAGCTCTCTACTCCTCCGCAGACCAAGTTGAGCGGAGCGCAATTCGCGGCGCAACGCTGGGAAAGAACCCTGCGACTCCTTATCGAGCGGCCTATCCTCTTGGCATCTAGGCTCCTTGGTCTCATCGTTGTCTAAGCCTTCCTCGTTCTCGGAGTCAGACGACTCCGAGGCCTGAGCCCCGTCTTCCTCCTTTATATCTTTGTCTCCTTTGACGGACCCCTCCCGGGAGCTCCCTGACTGGGCCTGTTCGAATGCCCTACGCACTTTAATGAGCTCTTGAGAACCTTCCCTGCAACCACCCTCGCTCTTCAAGCATGCATATATCATTTCCCACAGTGGCCGAGCGAAGACCGAAGCCCCGCCCTCCCTTTCCGCTAGAGAAAGATCCCTGCCCAACTTCTCCCACGAGGGCAGGTTTAAGTGCCCTGTGGGCAAGAACCAGGGAGCGAAACTATCAATCTCCTCAAAAAAGCTCTCCAGCGTTTTGCGTCCCACCTTGAGGTCTCTGGACTTTAAGAGCTTCCGGAGGACCTGTACCAAGGGCTGGGTGTCGTTACTCGGTACGTTACCCATATTTAATATGTTACTCACCGCGTGAGGCCCAAAAAGCCGCCACTTACGCGTGAGCCTGAGGGGAGTCTAAAAACCCTGTAGGTGCGCGCCACCCAGGGCCCAGGTTTATCCCCTGCTCACCTGTCTCGCAGTGCTGTATCAAGGAACGTTGTCCACTACCACGTCTCGGGGGTGATCAGTTGTTCCCCGTGCGGGCCACCAAATGTCGATGTCGCTCCCGGCCGGCAGGAAGGACACACGACAAAGTCTGGCAGTGGACAACCTTTTCTTTTATTTTCTCTCCGTACAGCCTGCCCTGGGATCGCTCCCAGCCGAAGCCTCCTCTGGTCCGCTCCCCGCGGCTCCTTCCGGGCTTCGCTCCGAAGCCTCTACCGGTCCGCTCTCCGCGGCTCCTTCCGGGCTTCTACTTCCCCCCAGGGGTGGCACCAGTATATATACGGATACAGTGTCCAATCATATTAAAGTAAGCAAGGCAAGCTGATTGGCTAACATATTATTGAGCGGGTTGTTTACGCGGTAAGCAGGAAACTAACGTGCTCGATGGGAGGGGTAATCTAACTCAGGCTTTGCTCTTTACCACAGGCCGCATGATCGCTATATGCGGCGGCTCGGCAATGTGGTGGCTCCCAACAAATCACAATTTGAATAATGTCTCCAAAAGCCTCCTTGGTATATTCTTCCACTTTGCCTGGTTCAACTGGAAAGACGGCGGAGACAGTAGCTCCATGGTGGTGCACTTGCCTATCATGGCCAAGGTACTGGGTTTCACCCCATGGCACTGCAAAAACAAAAACATGAGTAATCAAAAACTGAGAGAACAGATCCTCAAATGGTCAGGTGACTTAGTTCCCAGGACAGCATGGCTGACGTACAATGGGGCTGAGATGCAGACTAAGATACTGAGTCACACTGCCTCGGCACCCATTGCCATCGAAACATTAAAGAGCACAACAGGCTACTCCAAGCACTCCTTACTGCAATGTGGTCTCCTCCTCTTTCCCTTCCTCCTTCCCTTGTCTAGCTTACTACCCAAGGGAAGCTCCCTGCCTTGGATTTGCATACTCATGAACATTTCCCTCCCAAGAAACCTTTTGACTCCCTTATACCCATGTCCTCCTCAAGCTCAAATTGCCTCATCTCTGCATGCTCGGGAGGGACTGGCTATTTATTCTGTCCATCTGTTCAGAGGGTTCTGGTTTCTTGCTGGAAAATCTTCCTAGCTCTGGTGTTCCCTGCGACTGAATGTGCTGAAGACTAAACTTGGTAAATGTGAGCACAAGTGACAGTCTTGCAATGTGAGGGAGGTAAGGGAGGCAGGAAGTCGACAAGAGCATCCTCATCTACTTGGGACAGAGAAACTGAAAAGTTATAGGTGATTTGGGATTGACTAAATTTCCATTTGGTAGATGTCTTAGTTACTTTTTACTCGTCTCTGAGACAAAATACCTGAAGCCCAAAGTTGGGAAAGAAAAGGTTTATTTCTTACAGTTTTTGGAGGTTTCAGTCCATACTCAGTTGGCTCCAAGACAGGTGGGCATGGCTGGACCGCCGTTCATGGCAGCTGCAAACAGCAAGCTTGAACAAGCAAAGAGCAAGACACACCTTCTTCCTGCCATTACATCACATCCTGGCTCCATCTCTATGTTGGTGGAGCACTGACATCATCAATCCAAGCACTAGACAATGAACCAATCACAAATACACAATGCAAACTCATGAGGCCTGGGGCACACAGACATAAACCATGACAGCAGAACAATGAAGTACCTAAGAAATTTCAGGGCACATTTGTCAGAGAAATATCATTTTCCAAAGTCATTCAGATTTGCAAAGGCAAAGATTAAGATATTTCTAAGAGCTGAGGTCCTGGATAGCAGAATGGAGGTCAGAGCTAGAGAGACAAGAGCTCTAGTCCTGCTCCAAATAATCCTGCCCTGGCTTACCCCACCAGCATACCAGTATGTTTCTCATTGCATTATCTCCACAGCAGGTGTATACTTTATTCAAGCTTCAGCCCCTCATAGAAGCAGCTGCCTTGCCAGGGGCACCACAAAGCCTCAGTGAAAAGATGGAGCTTTTAACTAAGGGGCAAAGTGGTTTCCATCTCACCCTGCAGCCTACAGCTCTAAGATCTGATCAGTGTGTTCTTGAAGACAGCCTAGTCTGGGGCCCCGCTGCTGCAGGTTGTGGGCCTGGGCTTGTCCTGCAGCCTGGCTTTCTCTTGTCCTAGCCTGGGGCCACCACCTGAAGCTGCAAGTCTCCATTCATCATCTACAAATGGAGTCGATAACCTAGCTCCAGGTGTACAATGAGCATGTAAGAGAGACCACAGAAGCAATGTCCTTGTACATGGCAGGTATGTGATGGGGAGGGGTTTCCATTCAGTCCCCAGGCCTCTATTCAGCACCTCTTACACTCCAGACTCCAGGTGGGTGCTGAGAAGCAGAGACAGCTAAAAAGAGCTCCAACTTCCAGAGTTCCAAGCCCACTGGAAGCTAGAAAACCACAGACCCATGTGCTGCAGTCACTCTAAGAATGTCCTAGAGGACAGACTGAGAGGCTCCAAGTAGAACTAATAATGCCCCTGTTGGTGAACCAAACTCCAGCACTCCTCTGGCTGGTGGAGTCACAGCAACTGAGGCTCTCAGGGTGCTTGCTGCCCGACTGCCTTTAGCAGCAAGAAGTCACCATTGTCATTTTATCAAAACACTGCCAGGGAGCTCTTCCCTATCTTTTAGAGCTTTGCAACTAAAAATGACTCCACACACCTACAATTCCAGCACTCCAGAGGCTGAGGTGGGAGAGTTTCTGTGAGTTCAAGGCCAATGTGGGCTACCTAGAGTTTAGTACCAGCAGGAACTGCATAGCAAGACCTTGTCTCCAAAGACTTATCAGGAAAGTTACTCTCTAGTGAGCCCAGAAATATGAACAGAACTATATTTTTCTTTGGCAAAATGCCATCTTATCCTATCAGTCTTCAGTGCCTCAATGACATCCAGTTAACCAAATGTGCCCTGTTGGCAAGGAGGAGCATTCTAGCTTGACTCCAGCTTTGAGAAGCCTCTGCTGACTGTGCTGTTTAGGAGACCCCAAAGCTTTGTTTTCATTCATACCAGGAAAATTCATTATTATCTGCAATGAACCTTCAGAGAATGTGACCTACATTTTTATAGCATTTGTCCTTGGAATGGCTATCAAGATAGACACAGCAGTGATCATTTCCATACAACATGAGTGATGCCAGCAGTCAAGTGTTCAATGTTTTCAGGAGAAATAAGAAACTGAGCAAGATACAGTTATACCCTTGAAGGAAAAGAAATACAACTGCAATGTGCATTCAGATCTGTGACTGACTTGTAGACCAGATGCTTGGTGCAAGTGTGTATGTGTGCATATGCACACGGACAAACTTACTCATCTCACCAGCTATATCAATGTCACTAGACACTGACAGTTATGATTCTCAATAATGAAATATCTGTAAGAAAAAGAATTTTCAAATACCTCACAAGTGAAATATAACTCATTTCCTGTCACATATATTTTAAAATAGATATAATCCATTGCATTTTAAATTAAAAGTATGATCAGTTGAACTATGCAGTATTTTGAACCATTTTACCGGAAATAAAAATAAATGAGGAAGTTGCTATGGCAGAAATCTTTGTCTTCAGAGAGGGCGAGGGTTTGCTGCATGAGGGAAGACAAGGTAATTTCTCGGTCTGCCTTTGCCAACTCAATGTTTCTTTCTCTCTTTGAGACTCACAAGTGCAGAGGACAAGAGCCACAGTCTCTCAAGAACACAGCCACAATGGCTTCCCAAGAGAGCATCTGACAGTGGGTAGACAGACCTCCCACACTTGGAAGTAGAGATGACAGAATCGTTAGTAGGCTTCAGGGGACTCTAAAGTACATCTCTGTGCTTCTTGGGGAATGTTTTTCTATCAAAGTGTTTGATCTTCTCTGTTCTATCTTTATTTCATTTCCTAAGCAAAGGCAAGTGCCAATCTGTGATAACATTCTTGGGCATTTGTGATGTACAGGTGCTGTGCTGTGTATGGGGAATGTGGAGATCAGGGATACCCTCTGTCATGCTGCATCCTCTCTAGATAGCACACTGTTGTTCCTGCTTCCTTGCTGGCCAGAGTACCCTGCTCCTGTCTTGGCTGCCCAAAGCTAGGGGCTCACATAACTTTTCCTGTTCATTCTTAGTGAAAGGACAGCCTCCTTCGGGAAGGGCTCCATGATAGCATGGGCCTGTGCCTGACTCAGCCTCCCTATCTGCCTGTATATGGACCACTGTATTCTCCTCCACTGGCCACTGTGCCTTACTTATCTCTGTGCCTCCAGGATTGGAAGGTCAACTCAACTGTACTGCACTGGGATCTGCCCAGCTGGGATCACCACCCATGCCAGGGCCCTGAGGCCATCTGTGCTGGGACCAGACTCCACCCTAAGTCCTTGTTTAACTCAGACCCTCTCTTCCCATCTCTTGACTTCCACACCACTCTTCCCTACATATTAGTTTGACTAACTGCTATGTTCTAAGGTACACAATACAGGTGCCATCATATGGCTCCATCCCTTAGTTCATCATCTAGCATTGCTGTTCCAGGGAGCTGCTGAGTCTTCAAGAGGTCCAGTGACCAGGTGCAGCTCAGCCCTGGGACACTCAAAACACTGTCCCAATGACAAGAGCACCTCAGGTTGCCTTCTCGTCCTGAGAGCTAAGTGCCTTGTCCTCATCTGACTCCCTCAGCTCAGCCTCTGCTGGGGACCCCTCTTTTAGCTCCACTGGAACTCACCTGATTCTGCTCTCATCTGCTGGTATTTTTCATGGCAACACTACTCCTATAATAAGAGCCCCCAAACATACTCACAAATGTGCACAAACAGCCACATATCTGATGAAGACATGAATGCAGACACACATAATAACATCTATATGTGGACATCCATACACACACATTAGACACACAATGCACTCACATTCACATTCACACATGCAATACATACAGACACACATTAACATTCATACAATGCACACATGCATTTACTTTTTATCTGCAGTGCTATATTCCTGCTCTTCTAGTACACCAAAAACCTAGGAGAAAACCAGCCATCTGGATACAGTAGGTGCAAAGTGAAGAACAAACCCATTCCATTTGATTTCCAAAGCAGCCAGCTTTTCTAGGACACAGTGTAGCCCACAACCCCTGAACACCTGACTCATTGCTTATACTGAGCATGAACAACATCACATGGCAGCCAATGAGGCAGGTTGGCTCCACAGTTGAACTTCTGGAGCTATTATTCAGACAAATCTTTCAGGACTTTGTGTTGGCAAGGCTTCTCTTTCAGAGCAAAGTCAACCAAAAGATGATGCTTTTTCTCTTTCTCTATGTTATTTTATAAATATCTTTTCCCTGTGTCATCTTATAAATAAGCAGGGACTGGGAATGAAGCCTATAGTGCT